ACAACGACATGTCCTCATAAATTTTTGGAGTTGCATCCAAAATTCGCATAACCTGCTGACAGATGTTGCTTGTGATGAGTCGGGGTCATTGGTGCATAAGTTGTCAACTGTGAGATATGATTTTTAAGGAAAACAACTACCCCTTTTCTCTTTTTTTTGAACCCGAGGACGCTTTGACCGACATATGGACTCAACTTTATGGAGGTTCAGGCTGAGGCCTTCATTGGATTCACCTATTTGATCAGCTCTCAAATTTCCCAAGATGCCACCAAAACTCGCCTCACTGGAGGAACATACATTGTTGTCCGTTGTCACGACACCTCCAAACGTACGATTCAACTTTTCCTGCTCAGGATCTATTCCACTGTATTTTAATTTTTTTGCAGCACACACCACCCACAAATTCATATATGTTTGATTTGAAAATAAATTAAAAATTGAGAAAAATAGGCGACATTTTAAAAATGCTCACTGCCAGTCTTTCTGCCCATCACTCATCGGAAGCATCAGTTATTCGCTTTACTAGATCTCACCTCAAGCCCATTGATCATCACTTCAATTCTTTTCAGATTTTTCAATTCTTCTTTAGCTGATCCCACATGTTTTTTACTGCATCTTATCATCTTCTCTATCTGTACTTTCCTTGAATCATCCAATATTATTTTACTAGCCTTCCTTATTGAAATATGTTGTCTATCTATTTCCCAGTTCAATCTGCTTGAGACAAATGTTGCAAAATATTATTTGTCTCTTTATCCTATATTGCAGATGAGCCTGTTTTTTTTGTCATAACAATTGTATATTAGTATGAACAAAAAAAACTAATTAACATAAATAGGCGATACGCCTTAAAATATGTTATTTTTATATGTACATTTTATGCTCATTTTTAAGGATATTGCGCTTTAATGGAAGATATTTTGTGTGTTTTTGATTTCAGGTACAAGAGAGAGTTTAAGTGCAAAAAAAAGCAAAAACGGAGCAAAACATGGTCAAATGGAACACAGAAGCAAAAAGTGACCTGACGCCTAAGCGTCAGGTAGTTAAAATAGGATTTTAGAAGCTTGGCGCCTAGGCATCACGGTTGAGCGCCTTGGCGCCATAAACGGTTTTGATTTTTGTGCATTGAATTTAGACGAATTTTGAAGTGGCGCTTGGTGATTTTAAGAGTTTTATTTAAAAGAAACATTGACTGATCGAAAGGAGGCTTGAAGGGGGAGTAGTAGTAGGCGTGGGTGTGTCTGGTGTGAGTGAGTGTGAGAAAGTGTGTTGGTGAGAGTCTTTCTAGCGTGTGTTTTGGTGTGTCTATTAAAGTAAGAAGTCATTAAAGGAATTTTAAAAGATTTGTTTGGGGAGAAGTTTCAGATAAGTATTTTGTATTTTTATTTGAGTTTTGTTTTACTGTGTAAACTTGAATTTTAATATAAATTATGTTTGGTTGTGTTATCATCATGAAGTCTGAGTAGTTTCCTTTCTTTTTCTCCTTGCAATAAGAAATAATCATGTGTAGAATTAGAATTGTTTAAGATTTCTCTTATTTCATACTTGTAATGATTCATTACTTCGTACTTAATTTACTTCTTCAATCTTATCAATTTGAATGTTAAAATTTGTTGTGAATCCATAATGACCTGGGAGTGCTATGTGTTCCTCAACTAGTAAGAATCGCATTAATCTAATGGGTGAGAAAAGGTAGCTCATTGGTTAGTATAAATAGATAGAAAGATAAGTTTTGGGCATAAATTGATGATTCTAAGGTAACAGACTAAACCTTAATCAATTTTATCTAGAGTTTGGAACTTAAGGCTTAGGCTATTCCATAATAATGGTCGTAGTGAGTAAGCTGAAGGTGACAAACTAGAACCTACCCAGCATAACCAAAGATTTAAGAACTTAATTTTAGGTTAGCCAATGTTCTTTATGTACTCGCAAGAGCGTAAAGAATAAGATTGCTCCTATTTTGCGCAAAATTACGTTTAAACCTTTAGACATTTGATTCATACACTGATTATTATCTCTTTGCAAGGGAAAAAACTATACATAGTTGGAACTTTTCCACGTAAAACTAGTTTAGAAATACTGCTTTTTTAATGCTTGGAAATAGAATCAGTAGGAGTTTAATAATTTTTTTTACACATAAACTTGCTACTATATTTCCTAGATAAATGCCTAGAGTTAAAGTAAAGTTTTTCTAAGTACATAAAAAGTGATTCACCATCTCTGTGGATCGATACTGGAGTTCTAAAAGAAAATCCTATATTACTTGAAACGATACATATACGTGCATAGCACCCCTAGTGTGTACACTTTTAATCAAATTCTAAATTCTATAAAATATCTATTGTGCACGCTAGCCTCTAAAATAAATTGGGTGAGTTTTTGGCCATCTTTTTGGAAACTAAATTACTACTTAATTGTGGGTTGGGTCAATAGGAATGCCACAATATCCCAACTCAAAGAAAAATAAGTTTTACAATATCATCATTAATGCCTCTCCATACAACACTACAACACCATCTACACATCACCGCTTCCACCATCTTCACACACAAACACCTCTACACACCAACACATCCACAACACCACCACCACCTCCACACAAACACAACCACACACCAACCACCACCTCCACAACACAATCACCTCTACACATCCACCAACGCATCCTCTAACACAAACACAACCACCACCTCCACAATACCACCACCTCTACATATTCTCTAACATAAACACAACCATGCACCAATCACCACCTCCACACATTCACCAACACATCCTCTCATACAAACACAATCACACACCAACCACCACCTCCACAACACCAACTCCACACACAAAAAACCGTACATCACCACCGATCATCAAAGGTAAAAATAAACTTCAGCCCATATTTTTTATTTGATGTAGTTACATACAGAGCACCCTAAACGTTTCTATCAACAAATCAAGCTCTTTCAGCCATTTGTCATATTCTCACTCAAACATCAAAGGTAAAAATAAAACCTCATTTCATATTTTTCATTTGAGGCCACGACATACAGAGCACCTGAAACATTGCTATTACCCTCTTTCAGTCATTTCTCAAATTCTTGTCAAAAATCAAAGGTAAGGATAAAAACCTACCCCATATTTTTCATTTGCGGATACTATATACAGAGCACTCGAAACATTGCTATCAACAAATCAGACACTCTCTTTCAGTCATTTCTCAACTTCTCACTCAAACATCAAAGGTAAAAATAAAATTCACCCCATATTTTCATTTGCAGATATTATATACAAGGCACTCGAAACATTGCTAATTACAAATCAAACACCCTCTTTCAGCCATTTCTCAAATTGTAACTCGAATATCAGAGGTAAAGATAAAACCCCATTCCATTTTTTTATTTGAGGAAACTACATACAAGGCACTCGTAACATTCCTATCAACAAATCAAGCACCCTCTTTCAGCCATTTCTCAAATTCTCACTCAAACATCAAAGATAAAGATAAAACCTAACTCCATATTTTTCATTTGAGGATACTACATACAGGGCAGCCGAAACAGTGCTAACAACAAATCAAGCACCCTCTTTCAGCCATTTCTCAAATTCTCACTCAAACATCAAAGGTGAAGATAAAAAACCCATTCCATATTTTCCATTTGAGGACACTACATACAGAGCATCCAAAACATTGCTATCAATAAATCAAGCATCTTATTTAAGTCATTTCTCAAATTCTCACTCAAAAATTAAAAGTAAAGATAAAATCCCTTCCAATATCACATTCAGCCACAAATTCGCAAAATCCAAATTCCAAATTTTATAAAGAGAAAGTCACAAATCATAAAATTCAAATTCTCACTTCAAACGCAAATGAGAAAGCTAGAAATAGCAAAATCCAAATTCTCACTTCAAGCTGCAAATAAGAAAACCACAAATCGCAAAGAGGAAGTCATTCCATCGAAAGAATATGTAATATCGTGGAGGACAAAGAGTATATTAAACAGTGAGAGAGCCGGAGATCGGAGGTAAGAGGGAGACTAGAGAGGCAATCCGTTGCCACAATAATCGGAGGGAAGAGGGAAAGGAGAAAGGCAACTCATTGCCACCGGAAAGAGAGCGATCGAGAGAGGCAACCGAGAGAGCCGAGGGCAGAAGAAACACTGACAATGGTGAGAAGGGAGCGCGAGAGGGTAGGTAAGTAATAAGTTCGTGAAAAAATGAGGGCCGCAGGGTCGTACCCGCAGCCCGCATTTAACATATATTTTTAAGAAAAGCCTCCGCGCCATTGTTTCCAAATGCTTCTTCCTGCTTTTTCAGAACGCAACGCGCCAAATAAGCTGCCCCAAACGAGCTCTTAGTCTATTCTAGTATGTCATTTTTAGTGATGATTCTATATCTACACGTGTCTTTGTTTGTCTTCTGCTATATTTTCTCCCATCTTGTTTTTTTAGTTTTCTCAAATATGCAATTGCTTGTAGAGTGGTAACCTTTTTGATGGATTCATCGATGTTTAATGCAATTTAATTTCGTTCTTAATCTTGATGACAGATATAAGTTTTAAATATCTGTGTAGAGAAGTAAACTTCATAGTGAATGTTGCATTCAAGATTAAATTTATTTGATTTGCTTCTTAATCTGGATGACCTGTGTTTGATAAAGTAGTCATCAAATTAAATTGATTTATCTTACTTGGACTCTTTGCATTGTGTTAAGAGCAATGCTATTTGACGAACATACCGTAATGAAGTGTAATGCATTTGTCATTCTAAACTTGCATTCTATCTAATGTTGCGCATGTGCGCTAAAATTGTTATTTACTTGTCATTGGCTGAAGAGTCTAATATAGGTGCTAAGAATTTGACAGGAGTGCTTAATAACTGCTAATAGAAATCCTGATTCACCATTATTTACCCACATATTGTGATTCCATGATGACATCAATTTTTTATTTGGCTCTTGGAATTTGTTCCCGTTTGATTTTGATATCTGATAGTTTACCATGCTTGTAGGATTTCAAAATAAGAAACAAACATGATGGGCGTCAAGGCTCGTCCAGCTTCCACTGATCCTCCTAAAATAGAGGTGGGTGAGATAGACACTAGGGCGCCCTTTGAATCTGTCAAAGCTGCTGTCAGCTTATTTGGTGAGGTTGCATTGTCCAGTGATAAATCAGCATCAAGAAAACTAAAGAGCCCATCATATGAGGTGAGCTGTAAAATGTTTTGTATAATCATCCCATTGTTTATTGAAGATTTCATGAAATTTAGTACTCAGTATTATCATGGCTCTTTGATTTTTTAAGGAAGTTAACTAGTTGACAATAGTGATGGTGATAAAGGTGAAACACGTAATTTTTTGTTTTTATGATGCTTTCAAATCCATATCTACGGTCTCTGTTGATACTTGAATCAATACTAGCAAACTTCAATGTGATATTTTGGATGCACACCTGAAAACTTCAGGGGTTGTTCTCCATCATGCGCAAGTCTCGGTTTTTTGTTTCGGCATTTTACCTATAAATTAGATGCAGCTATTTTTTGTTGTAACTAGTGTTTAAATTGCTATGTAACCATAATTCACTTGTACGTGTTGACACTAATAACTTGTAGGGGCATTTACATACCTACCACATAATTCTTAAGTATTTACATATCTAAAACCTAGAGTTTTATATTTACATGCATAAACACTCAAGTCTTTAACATCACATAAAAATACGACTATTACCAACTTTTTAAAAGAAAAATATGCATTTTAATGCTTATGTTGTGACACCAAAGTTTTATAAATGTAAATTTCAAGCTTTGGGTGTCAGATATATAAATACACAAGAATTGTGTGGTATGTATGTAAATTTTACTAACATTTAACTCAACTTTAAATGATTCGAAACTTTGACTTGCCATGGGAACCAGTCCTAAGAGGTAACCGAGTAATGAAATCCCACACCTTATTGAACTGTTCAATTTATTTGACTCTGATTTTATTGATGCACAAATTGGTCGGTTTAAACCAGTAGATTTTTGTTGCAACAACTAGTAGATTGATTTTCATTTGTTGAACTATTAGATTGATACTCCTTTGGAATAAGGCTAATGATGATTATGATGATGGATGCTCCAAGTTTGCAACCCAGCAGCTTTTTAATTTGTGCTGTTCTTTAGCATTTATTTATTTCCTCAACGATAACTTGCAAAACTTGTTGCTTGTACTTGTTTTACCTTTTTTTTTTTTTTTTTTGAAATGTATGGTTATAATGGCAAAGTGTTATCTCTTTCCTTGTGAATTTATTGATATGAAAAATTGGGTAGCTCAACAGGCCTTTGCTGTAGTCCGCACTCAAAATTAGGATTTGTTTCCTCTATTGATTAGGAAAAAAGGAGTCTGTCTGGAAAAACTTTTCATGTTTTTTTTTTCTTTTTTGAAAGTTAGTAGGGTCTTTGTTTGGTCTATCTGTTTTCACAACTAAGTCCTCATTTACCGAACCATTAAGAGTGATACAACTGCTAACTGAGCACCCCGCCCTTAAGAGGGAGACACCTGTTGGATTTTACCTGTCAAATCTCCTAGGTAAAGGTCTTGTTGACATAGTTATTGGTAGATTTTAATGCTTAGCAACTCAATGATGTTGCAAGAATTTCTGACTTTACCAAACTATCTCTATTGTCAGGATTGATCTTTTTCTTTTCCTGTTGTTTATTCTGATATTTTATTGGTGTCGCTGTTAACATGTTTTTTATTCTTTTATGCTTATAACTATTTTTATCAATTTTTTCGTGTACCATCTGTGACGTACGCTTTTTTCTTGTTTCATTATAAAAAAATCATCGTAATTTCATCTATTTTAATATTAACTTGAACATTATATTGATAAGATTTCTCTTTTAAATGCTAATTTTGATTTGTTTCAACTTGAAAATGGTGTCTGAATTTTAGGAACTGTTCATATAGTGCCGTTTACTTTGGTATGAAGCAGGTCTTTTCTACTAATAGAAAATATCGGAATGATAAATTTAGTTATATAAGGCTTTGAGGGTATTTAACAATGCCAATTAATACTTTAATGCTGCTTTTACTGTACCATTTTACAATTCAGACTCAATTTAAGTCAATTCTAATCCAAGCACAACATAAATAGGTCAATTCTAATCTTATGCTGTTGCCCTCATATCTTTTCTACAAGATGAGTCGATCGGATGCGACGAGAGTAGCGAAGGGTGAATGTGAATCACATGATCAAACTTGAAATGCCTATATGTTCGCCAAAATTGATCTAAACAATGCCTGTTTGCAAAAACGGACCCCACCTTTCCATTCATAGGGTTAAAAATATCTAAGAAAGAATCTTCCGTGAATGAAATGAGCAGACAAATTGTCGACGATGGGAATCGAATGCGACGTCATGTGATCAAACATTAAATGTCTTGATTACACTCAAGTTCGCCTGAAATGACGTCTGATCACAAAATAGACAGTCAAGCTAGTCCAAAATATTGAATTTGCTTAAGGAGTCTGGTATTATCGAAAGAACTAAGAACGGCGAAAGCGACATATCACCAATGCGACATGTGCTATTTAGGCGCTGTTTGGTTCGGCTTCTGCTGCGCGGCGCGGCGTGCGACTGCGGCTTCGTCCGGCATTCCGGCGTTTGGTTCGGCGTTTCGCGGCAAATGGTGCGCCCGCGGCTTCGTCCCGCATTCCGGCGTTTGGTTCGGCGTTTCGCGGCAAATTTTTGGCGAAGCGGATCGAACCGCGGCCGCGATATTAGGCCGCGGTCACCGCTTTCCTTTACCCATTGTCCCGCTTACCCCTTTCGTTTCTCTGCAGCCCTAACGAGTTCCCTTGCGGCTCTCCTTCGTCCTCTTGCTTCGTTGCCCCGCGATCGACAGATCTGAGGTATAACGAGCATTTTTCTTCTTGTAATCGCAGATTTGAGGGTTCTTTACGATTTTTTCGAGTGTGATGTTCTCTCTACTCCTATCCTTCCTACTTCGGCGATTTTTTCTTCAACACATGGAAAAGACGACTGTGATGTTCTTTACCCCTTTCGTTCATCACTAGGGTTATGCCTTCTCTTTACCTTCTCCTTTGACGCATTCTTATTTGGTGGCTGACGGCACAAGGGTGGTCGGGGGTTGTGGTTGGGGTGGGGG